TATTATCATTAAAAAACTAAATCTTTTTCTTAAACAAATTTAAGTTATTTTAAACTTAAATTCACTTAATTTTAAAATCAGATCATCAAGGCTTATCCTTGGATCTTAATTAGTTTTCTATTTCACTAAATTTAAAACTTGATCATCAAGGCCTATCCTTGGATCAAAAAGAACAATTTTGTTCTCCCCCACCCACTTATCAAGTGTCTAACGACCTCAAACGTCGATTCACTCTCCAACCTTTTCAAAAGACCCAGGACTAATAGAAATTATTCAAACACTAACCATTTAAATTAGGCTAAACAGTGAAGAACTTCGGTTATTCATCCTTCACTTGACCCCTCCTCTTATACGACCCAGGATAATCGTAAACTTAGTAAGTTTAAAATAGTATCTAACGAACTACTTGCGTTCTAATTATACCTGAACCTTGTGGATCGATTTACTAGTCTCCAACCCTTGAACACAATCACTACCCCTAAGTAAGATTAAGTAAGTTAACACCTTAGCTTATATTAGCCACGAGAAAGTAAAAATCATTCTCCGGAATCAATATACTTTTCTCTCCAACCCTGAATAAAAAGACCCAGGCTAAGCTAACCAAAAAATCGTAAGGACTAACAGTTTAAGAAAGTAGAAATCATCTAACAACTTTTTGCATCCCTCATCCTAAAACTTATGTCATTCAAAAATCTAGGAAATAAACAAACAATCGTTTTACACAACTGTGAAATAGATAACAAAAAATATGATCTTGTAATCACACCTCATACACAAACAGTTGGATATATTAGAACAAAACGACAAACAATAAAAAGAAAAATAATAAACAAACAAAGACAAATCACACGAAAAAAATTTTCGAAAAATAGAAACGCATTTTCAGAATCAGAAGCCAGCAATTTAGATGAACTTTATATATTTAAAAAATCAATTGATAAAATTTGTCCCATTCACAAAGACGAAGTTTCACAACATACAAAACATGATTTACAAAAAATTTTGGCATGGTTTACAATAGATTATTTCACACATAATATAGATTTAATTTCGCAAGCAAGAAAAAATTTCAGACCTCGAATGGTCTCATCATGCATTTATAAATATCCCACAATCAATCTCAAGTCAAGCAATAAGCACCACTTCTTATACAAGAGATTATGTAAGAGTAGTACCATTAACCATTGATGCAACACCATTAAACTACAATACATTTTTGCCTGATACGCGAAATAATAGTTTAAATTCGACCGTCATACACAATGAAAACCTTAATGGAACTAGAAATCTTACACAACACGATATTCAAACACCATCACACTTCATAAATATAGAAATCAACCAAACAACAACAACTACACAACAAAGTATTTCACCGATACGTCCAAATTTAACAACACCAAAAAATACAAACACTTCACTAGCACAAGTAACCTTACAATCAACCGTTAAAACTTCGGTTGCTCCAAAATATTCACAAATGGATTATCAAACATATAGACCTATGACACTACCGTCAAAACACGAAGAACGTTCACAAGAAACACTTTTGCAGAACACAATTATAATTACGCACATTCATCAAAAACAAACTATCCGCCACGAAAAAATAATAATAATCAGATAAGATCTCGATATTGGGATAACCCAATGACAACAACCAACTCAGTAAATTTTCAAACTAATTCACATCCTCCACAGGATCGTAGTGGAAATTACCCATTCTTTCAGCAAAATAAAAATATAAAAGCACCTCATCATACGGATTACTTATCCTCTGATGACGATTATTTACAACCAGATATATTTGCACCATATACCCTAGAATATCGCGGACAAGGAGTGCAAAAACCATATACATATCATAGAATTTTTTCTCCACATCCAACAGATACACAAAATCAACAACCAATACAAATGCAAAACCCAACTAATACACAATCTTTTCAACCAATTCAGCCACAAAACCCAATGATCACACACTCGTATCAACCAACTCAAATGCAAAATGAAACACCACTCCCATATTACCTTCAACAACACGAAATATCAAGAAATCAACTTTCAAATTTTTCACAAATGCCAAATGCAGCAGAATCATTACAAATGACAATGAATCCATACCTTATGGGTGGATCATCAATAACGTCAAATAAACCTTTAATGGTATTCACAGGAACAGATCCCGAATATTCTGTAGAAGATTATTTAAATGCAGTAACAGCAATTTTAGTTTTAAATACAGGACCTGAACCAATTAATACACCACTACATCAAAATTGGATACATCGACGCACAGCGTTGATACAAACAATCTTAGATGGCGCAGCCCAAGAATAGTTTTCAGTATTGCCAATAGAAATAAAATCAAATTGGAAAAGATTTACACAAGAATTTTCAAAAATGTTTGACTCCGAAAGAAATAAACAACACCAAAGAGTTTTATGTAATGAAATTCGCAGATTACCAAATGAAACCATCAAACAATTAGCAGTACGTATCGAAACACTAGTTCGAAAAGCATATTCCTTAAATACACATGACTACAAAAACACAAAAATGACAGAAATTTTAATGATGACCTTAACACCTGAATTAAGAAAAATAGCAATAAAAAAGAGAGCATCCCATCCTTCCTCAGTTCGAGAGCCCGATCTAGATTTTCGAAAACTAGTAGACAAACTAGACCAAGCGGAAATCACAATGAAATTTGAAGAAACAGAAAATCTGAAATTACAATATGTTAATCAAATCGAAACAAACACCACAAATATCAATAACATACAGGACTCAGACACAGACCTCGTTGAAAAAATCACTGAAATACTAAATATTTATGAAAAACACCCAAACTTTAAGGGCAAACCATCTTTCAAAAAATGGTGTAATTATTGCCGACGATACGGACATAGTATTTCTGAATGTAGACAAAAACAACAGGATAACCAAAACAAACCTCAAAAATATAAAAAACCAAATAAATCATTCTATCAATACATGAAGAAAGATCAAAATCTACCAAACAAAAATGTATATAGTAACAACAGTTCAGGAAAAGCACTTCCGAACAACACCAGTAACACGAGAAATCAATCACCATATAACTCAAGTTATAGAGGAAGATCACCAGAACGAAGAAATACACAAAATTCTTCATAAAATCATTATAATCGACCAAATAGTCAAAATATCTACTCCAGATCAAATTCAAATACAACAGAATTTGTTTCTAGATCCAATTCCCAATCAAACACAAGAAATAAATACTATCCAAACAATCAATCACGAAATTCATCATATAATAGAAATAGAAGCCATTCAAATAATCGAAATAGAAGTTATTCGAACGACCGAAATCAGAATTACCCGAACAATCGATCAAGAAATAACTAATATAACAGATCAAACTATCACAGATCAAACAACAATTATCAAAACAGATCACGAAATAATTCACAAAATCGGAATTCAAGTTATAATAATCGATATAGAAATTATTCTCAATCACCACATAGAAATAATAACCATTATAATAATTCTAAACATCGCTACAGAAGTAGTACACCCAAACATCAAAGACGTATTAATCAAGTACAATCAAATGAAGAAACAACATCAGACCCCCCAGGTATTGACGATACAGGAAATAACGAGCTACAACTAAATCAAATAAACTGTGGATCATCAGACACAGAAAGTGATACAGAAAACACTATCTCCATAAATATGATAGCAGTTGAAAACGAATACGAACCTATTATATATGAACAACCTTTTTCATCCCATATATATGAAAATCAATCGGAACTCCTTCACAATTATTATATTGAACCCATCCATACTACACAAATGGCACAAGGAACTAACGAAATTAACACTGTAAATAAACCCAACGAAAATGACAAAACAAAATGCTTGAATACAAATCACATTTACCAAAATGTACCAAAAGAACAACCCAAAGAAAAAATTTGGACAATACCATTTCTTTTAGAAAGTCCAAGAAACAAAGAATTTCAACCACCAGATCTTGAAATTGATTTTTTAATTGATTCAGGAGCAGAATCAAACATAATTAACATTCCCACATGTAAGGAAATCAAAACATTCCACCCAAAATTAACGCCTCTTGCAACCTCCAGTAAACTAACAACAGCACAAGGATCAACATTAGTAAACTACGGAAAAGTTCAATTATTTTTTCTCCCCACAAGAACAATGGAGCAAAATAAAATTTTAAACAAGCCATTTAAACAAATATTTCATATCACTGATATTAAACACAATATCATTGGAATACCATTTATCTCAAAATATATACCAACAATCAACATCTTGAACAGTAAAATACTAATCAAAGATAAGTACACAAAAACAAAAAATACAGCCCTAACATTTTTTCAAAGACTAAGTAAACAACCACCATTCTTTTCAAAATTTTATCTAATTTATAACCAACAACGGAAACACCTGAAACCACTATCAGGAAACATATATAACTTTTCAATAAAACAAGTTCACCATGTGATAAAAATCAAAATAAACAACAACTCTTTATGTCAGACTTTGAATTCAAACCTATCCATAAGTTTTTCAAAATCACAACTTCATCCATAAAATATTTGAAAAATACGAATTCAGACATCATTTCGTTACATGTATATAATAATACACCGTATCAAGTAACATTACCCTTAGGACTTTTAGGATATTGCGAAACAAACGCTACAATATCACCAATGCACGAAAAAGCATACCACGTAAATAATATACTCCAATTATTAGATATTTGTCAATCCACAATTCTTAATGAAGTATTATCCATAAATAATATAATAAGTAACGAAAAAAGAAATACGGATTATTTCACAAAAACCCCATATTTCAAACCGACATTCAACATAAATAACTACACAGAGGATCAACAGAAATTTTTAACAATGTTTAATTTCCAACACTCACAAATAACACAAGACGAATTTGAAAAATTAGCCAGACAGCTTATTAAATATTCATCAGTCTATGCAACATCCAAATTTGATGTTGGCAAAATCAGCTCATCACTACATCTCCCATTAAAACCAGACGCAGTTTTCAAAAAACAAAGAGCAAGTAAAGTACCAATTCATTTACACGATAAAGTGAACAGTTTACTTGATATTTTAGAACAATACAATATAATCTCACCAGTAAACAAAGAAGAACAACCAAAAGGTAACACATTTATCAACCCTGTTATCATTCTAGCTAAAGGAGAATCATTAAAAATAGTTTTAGACGCTAGATATTTTAACTCACTAATAGACGAATCAAAATGCAATTGGCCTATTGAACCAAAACAAGTTATTTTAACAAAAATAAACGGAAAATACTTTACAACCTCAGATATGAATAGTGCATACAACCAAATCCCACTAGATGAACAATCACGACGTTTAACACAATTTGTTATTGGAAATCAACAATATGAATTCAACCGCCTATTCTATGGAATATCCATAGGACCAGCAGCATTTTCAGCTTTTATGAGCAAAATTTTTAGACCACTAATACTCAAGAAAAACGCAATCACCTATTTAGACGATGTTTTTATGCAATCACAGACAAAAGAAGAAATGTTTCTAGTTTTAGAACACTATCACAAAATACTTCAGAACGAAAATCTGAAGGCCGCCCCAGATAAATCACACTTCTTTTTAACACGAGTTAAATTTTTAGGACATAATATAGAAAGAAAGACAACAACTCCATTAAAATCACGCATTGAAGCTATTCAAAAACTTCAATCACCAACAAACAAAAAGAAAATCCAAGAATTCCTTGGAATGTTGAATTTTTTAAGCAAATACGTTTATAAAATGCAATTATATTTAAGATCATTCGATAATATCCTCAGACAACAAAATAATTTTGAATGGAATACAGAACATCAAACACGATTTGAAGAAATTAAAAAACTTCTAACTGAACAAATTTCAAATACAATTCCAGATCCAAATCAACCATTCTATGCAATGTGCGATGCTTCAAACTTTGGCATCGGCGCAGCATTATTACAATCACACAATGGTACAAATAAAATGAATCTTATATCAGCAAATTCTCGATTATTCACTCAAGCAGAGCTACGACTCTCAACTTTAATGAAAGAATGTACAACTATAATTTATACACTTACAGAATATGAATTTCTGATACTTGGATCAAAACATCCAACAGTTCTATTCACAGATCACAAACCAATCATTTTTCACTTTACACAAAAGTCAAACCCAAATCACCGAGTTTATAGATTTCAATTAACTCTAATGAAATTTCCAAACTTACATATAGTTTGGACAGCAGGAAAAAATCTTGCATTACCAGAAACATTAAGTCGAAATACACCACCTGCATTACTTACACGAAAAACTACAGTTGAAATACCCAAGAATATAAAATTTTACCTTGCAGAAAACGAAACATCACCCCGACTAGAATGCAAATATGCAGTAAAAACTGACATTGAACAATCACAGATAAATAACCTACAACACTTCCCACTTTACTTAGATTGCCAAAATAACCACTACGAAGTTGATCTACTTGGAACATCAACTTTCAAACCAATTCCATATTCACAATGGATAAAAAATAACACCCAACAAAAAAGATTAAAACAACACTCGCATAAAAAAGACTTTTTCCGTTAATTGAAAAAAAAATCTAACTGATAAAATAAATTTATCAGGACCACAAACAAATGATTCAAAATACACAATAAATCAAGTTTTTGACCTCCATGACCAACTTGACACAATTCCTTTATCTAAATTAGAAATTGAAAACATTTTTCTCCCCCCAACAGATAAAATTACAATTAATACCTTGAAACAATATCAAAATCTTGACCCAGTAATAAGACAACTAAAATCATGGCACAAATACAAAACTAAACCCGTAAAGGCAGATACCACAATTTTAGGAAATAAAACACTCCTCCGATATTTTCGAAAATTTAATAATACAACAATTAATGAAAACACAGACCTTCTAGAAAACCAATTAAAGGAATCTACAGTTCCCTGTCTCCCTTTAAGTATGATTCTCATAGCTTTTAACATTTCACATACACAAAACATTAAAGGACACTCTGGATCAGAGAAAACAGATTCAAATTTTTTACAAAATTTCTATTTCCCAAATGCACCAATTTGGATAAAAGTACTATGCAATGATTGTATAGTATGTCAGCTAAATAAACCTTATCCAAATCAAAAACAAATAGCACAAAAACAAGAATTTAAAGGACAAAGTTTATACTTAAACCATCGTATTTCATTTGATACAAAAGGACCAATTTCACCATCATCTGAAGGAAACTGCTACATTATGGTAATTGTTGACGCATTTACATATTATGTAGCACTTAACCCAGTACCACATTGTAACGCTTATTACGCTTACACAACACTTTATGAACACTGGATAGCCAAGTTCGGACTACCCGAAATTTTAGTTACAGACAACGGTACAGAATTCATAAATAATGAAATCATCACACTATGTCATTTATATAACATCAAACACAAACCACGTACATCTCATGCACCTTGGACAAACGGCTTAGTCGAAGGTATGAACCGTTCACTACAAGAATATCTTAGATGTATCATCAATGGAAATGATACAAGGTACACCGAATGGTCAACAGATGTAAAATTATTTCCCTTAGCATATAGTTCACAAATTACGACAACTCTAGGAATGTCACCATATGAAATGGTTTTTAATCAAAAGCCACGCAAACCAATTATGTTTACAGCAAACTCACATAAAAATGCACAAAATCATTGTCAACCGAATAAAGACTCAATTTGTTATAACTTACCTTTACACACACATGATGAAGATCATTTTCATCACCCAAAAATTCTTAAATTAGCCTCCGGTACACACACCGAATGGATTTTAAATAGAGATAAAAAACACAATGAAATTTACCAAAAAGTAACAAAAAAGTTGTTACAAAGAAAAAAAATTAATGAACAAATAAATTCACGCTTTACACCAGCCTCCGAGTTAAAAATTGGAACATTTGTTTTAATACCTAATTTTAACACTCAAAAAGGAATTTCTTAAAAATTACAACCCCTTCGTAAAGGACCATACCAAATAATTGCCAAACCCACTGACGTAACATATAAAATCACCGACTCAGACCAAAAAGAAATTGTTCAACATCGAAACAATTTATTACCTTATTACCCAAAAGAATAGGCACTACGCGAACTAACTCAGTTATATTCTTTCACAGGTTTAAAAGTTATTCAAAATAACCCATATACGGAAAATAAAACAAAAGAACAACATGACATTCACCTCGAAAACCAAAATAAAAAATCAACTACATCGAAAAACAAAACAAAAAAGCTAGATCAAAATATACCTCAAAAGGAAAGAAAAAATAGAAAAATGACAGAAAAAATTATACCCCAAGAACAAGTCGACAAATCAGAACATAGAGAGTCATCACGACTTAGAAATCAACCACGCAAAAACTACAAAACAATCATTCCACAATCTAAAATATTAAAGAAAGTTGAATTTCAAAAACAACTTTAATTTTACAATTAATAATCTTTGCACCTCTGAAACATTTTGAACCTTCATTTTTCAAAACAACATGCTGACAAACACGCAGCGATTCTAGTTCAAAATTAGCCAATAAGAATCATTCAATCCGTCACCTTCTATAACTCTAACACAAACCAATTAGACGAAAAATATTAAACTCCGGGCATATCTATAAGTATAACTTTACGACCTCCAGGTCAAAAATAAGCAAACCATTCCAACTTGACAACTAAAATAAATACCACCATAATATCATAACCCTCCCTTATCTAATAACCCAAAGATCAACAATATTTCCCCAACTCAGACCTCAAATACCCCCTAACCAAAAATATTAAATTAGCCTAAAGTAAAGGAACGACCATATTAAATTAGCCCAAAGTATAAAAATCTCAAAAATACCCCAGATTACTTGACAAATAAAAATAAAGAAAAAGAAGACCTCCCGAACACCATAAAATTCGCCCCCAACAATTTTTCACAAAACTCAACCCACTTGTCAAAAAACCAATAAATAATTCGTCCACACTTGAAAATTGCCCCAAACAACAAAAAATATTCTATCAAGAAGCCATTTCTTAAATGCTCTTCTCTCGATCAGTCATTATAATACTCAACATTTTCATAAACTTTTAAACAATATTTAAACTTTTATTCTTATTTCTTTTTGATACCTTTGAAGCTTTTAAAATAATCCTAATCAATTTTGCAATATTTTTTTAATTTTCTATTCCATATTTGAACTATACCTCCAACTTTCAAAAGCCATTGACCATATTCACAGGTACGAGACACAAAACTTATCTAAATGATACGAACCATTTTTAGTAGAACAGATATTTTTTTACTATTTGTAATTTTTATAACATTTCTATAATCCCTCATCTTGACAATATGCAAATGTATAAAGAAAGCAATCATCACATTCGCTTTAGCAACAATACTTCTAATTCTTTTTCCAGAAGAATACTACAATGAACAAAAATTTTTTCACTAAAAATATCAATAAAAAACCCTCAAAAATTGCTAACCAACAATCACACAGTCAGTCTTCACCGACAACATCCCAAGAAAACCCAACAACACCTACAACTACCCAAAATTCCCAAACATCTACACAAATTTCTTTCCAAGATAACCCATATAACTTTGAAGAACGACACGCTCGCTTATCTGAACCACTAGAACCAGTTCAACGACAAGCACCTCTAAGTGAACCAACATATAACTTGTACCCAACACTACCACAAGAATTAAACAGAATACTAAATCTTAGTCAAAATCAAAATACAGTTGAAATAAATAGACAAATTATACATCCACGACGAAACAGAAATTTTCAAACCCCCCGAGTTCATTTTGACTTACCCCAATCCCCAACACAAAGTACTCCGG